AAATTGGTCAACTTTTAATTATTTCTGTTAAAATGCATTAAAAAAAAACCTGAAATGCTGCATTTGGAAGTTGAGTGTATATATGTACAATGGTTGCTATGATTAGTTTGCACCGTTTGCTCTCCAGTTTTCAAAATGACGTCCAAGCAAGAGGAGCAGCGTGTCAAAATTTAGCTCGCGCAGCAAGAGAATCCAACGTTCTCACACGCCAAGTTGGGAAAATTGCTGGATGTGGCCAAATCGACCGTGACAAACGTTTTAAAAGTGTTCGGGAAGCGTCTGTCGACCGCCAGGAAGCCTGGAAGCAGCGGCAATCGTAATCCGGACGTGGCAGCGACGACGAAGAAGGTGGCGGTGAAATATAAGCGGAATCCTAACCTCTCCATCCGGGACATCGCTGGCAAGCTCAATGTCTCCCATACTACTGTGCAGCGGGCCAAGAAACGAGCCGGGTTGTCGACGTTTAAGAAGGCGAAGGTGGCGAACCGAGATTACAAACAAAACACGTCGGCAAAGCAGCGGTCCCGAAAGCTGTATACGACTCTGCTCACAAAGTTCGACTGTGTCGTCATGGACGACGAAACTTATGCGAAGGTGGATTTCAAGCAGCTTCCGGGACAGGAGTTTTATACCGTCTCAGGAAAAGGGAAGGTGGCTGAAATTTTCAAAACCATCAAACTATCGAGGTTCCAGAAAAAATATCTTGTCTGGCAGGCCATATGCACGTGTGGTCCAAAAAGCGGCATTTTCATTACTACGGGAACCATAAATCAAGAGATCTACGTCCAGGAGTGCCTGGAAAAGCGACTGCTACCATTCCTTAAGCAACATAATAGACCTGTGCTGCCACTATGAGAAAAAGGCAATCGAGTGGTACGATGCGAACAACGTGGTTACCCAAAGACCACAACCCTTCCAACAGCCCATAACTCCACCCTATCGAACGATATTGGGCCTTGGTCAAACGGAATCTCAAAAAAACTTAGAAATCCATGGAAAACGAGCTGCAGTTTAAATCTAACTGAGATGAGACCACTGTGCAAAATTTAATGGAAGGTCCAGAATGCAGATTTAGGTGGAATGATATGTTTTGAGCCCGAAATTGAAACTTTAGACTAAAAGTCTCTTCTACAAAGTTGTTCCTTATAGTTAGAGCCTCATTTTTATGACATTCAATTCTAGGGTGGTTCTTATTATCATTAAAATCGAAAATCTAACTTTTTTGTTTGAATAAATGTAGGTATAAATTTTTCGACAAAGTTATAGCTGAGCTAATTTCAAGCAACTTTGTTGAAAACAACTTTTTTGTATCTCTTAAATTGGCCGATTAAGAGCCATTTTCTTTAATTGAGTTAGGGTGTCGCTAAAAAAAAAAACAGTTATTTTTCTCTAGTTTTCTTATTTCAAATTTCTCAGCAAAGATGTTTTTAAATTACCTTTAGATCTTAAAAAGGCGCACATTTTTGCTGCAGAAAGCTTGTCAATATCTTTCGCCGGTCAAGAGTTATTGACGTTTTTGTACTAAAAATAAATTTTTTTCAAATGTTAATATCTCTAGTTGGGGCAAACAAAAAAAAAAAAGTTTTCATACGGCATTTGAAAGGGCGTATGTTATTCTGAATCATATGAAAAAATGGAGGTTTGTTATTTTTTTAAATCGTATAAAATCAATTCGAATTTATTAACTTTTTTTTATTATATTTCGGTACATCTTTTTTATTAGAAGAGATACAGGCAACAAAATTCGCTATAAAACATTCGTCTTAAAGAGTTTTAAAAGTCTCCACAAGATGACTTTCATGAGAAATTTCAAATAAAAAAACTACAAGGGACAGCCCTATGAGGTTGTACGCAATGGCGACGTAGGACTTCGTGGTCTTATATAGCAAATCTTATTTGTTAACTGAAGCAGGAGCTTGTGTTTTGTGTAGGAATAGGAATTTGAGCGGGGTTCTCTCTGTTTATACTATTTACTATGACGCGCTTGACATAGATGGCCCACAGCAACTCACGAAGAGCTACTGATTTCGATCAATAGCGGTGCGGCTTCTTCCTCCTTGTATGGATGCTCATGTGGGCTGCAGCTCGCTGTTTCCAGGAAGCTTTTCGTTGTGTACTGGAGAACAATGTTCAACGCCACGTGCCGAAAGCACTGCTGCTGCTGCTGCTGCTGCTGCTGCTGCTGCTGCTGCTGCTGCTGCTGCTGCTGCTGATGCCAACGACCGTACACGATAATAGTAACTGAATCCGATCATCTATTGAGGTCAGCCTTGATCGCTAGCTGCTTGCGGGAAGCCTTTCGTTGTGTACCGGAGAACACCACCACTCACCACGCGGTGATTGAATAAACACCATTTGGTGAGACCGGATGGAATTCAACTTTGAAATCTGTGTTAGGGAAATCGCTTTCGCTGGCAATCAGTGATAATTTTAATTATCATAGCAACAGTTGCACATTCGTGCATTTTTCAATAGTGACATTTTTTTTAAATGATGCAGTCTTAAATTTAACAGATCCGTAGGAATATTTCTGGTCGATTGGTGATAAAATTATTGAAATTGGTCGAGGGGTAGCTGAGTTATAAACGTTCAAAATCTTTCATAATTTTGTTACATGTCCCATTTTCGGTTTTCACAAAGTGTACCCCCATATAGAAATCACAGACGTAGTCCTACGTCAAAAGTTAGTGCTAAAAAACTATTTTTTCCAGGAACACCCTAAGTCAACTCCGAAAAATTACTCTAAAATGTGAACGTTAAGAGATAGAAATTTTTTTTCTTCGACAAAGTTGCTTGCAATCATTTCAACTACAACTTTTTGAAACAACACTTGTTTTTATTTTGTAAAACAAAAAAGTTAGTTTTAAAAATTTCCTAATTTGAGGACCACCCTGACGTTTGCAAACACCAAAAGAAGGGAACTTTTAAGAACAAAAATTTCTTCTAAGACACTAAATGTCCAAATATTGAAACAAATGTACTAGCACATTTTATTTAAATTTGTCACTAGGGTGGTCCTATGAAATCCATCTTTTGTCAATAACTTTTTTATTTGAAATTTCTCATGAAAGTCATCTTCTTCAGACTTTTAAAACTCTTTAAGGCAAATGTGTTATAGCGCAATTTGTTGTCTGTATCTCTTCTATTAAAAAAATATACCAAAATTTAGTAAAAAATATGAATAATTTCAAATTGATTTTATACAAGTTTAAAAAATAACATACCTCCATTTTTTCATATTATTGAGAACAACATACGTCCTTTCAAATGCCGTAAAAAAACTTAATTTTTGTTTGCCCCAACCAGAGATATTAACATTTAAAAAGTGCATATTTTTAGTATAAAAACATCAATAACTCTTGATAGGCGAAAGATATTCACAAGCTTTCTGCAGCAACAATTTGCGCCTTCTAAAGATCTAAAAGTCATTTTTAGACACCTTTGCTGAGAAATTTGAAATAAGAAAACTAGAGCAAAATAAATGTTTTTTTAGCGCCACCCTAACTCAATTCAAGAAAATAGCTCTAAATCGGCCAATTTAAGAGATACAAAAAAGTTGTTGTTGCTTGAAATTAGCTCAGCTATAACTTTGTCGAAGAATTTATACCTTCATTTATTCAAACAAAAAAGTTAGATTTTCGATTTTAATGATAATAAGAACCACCCTAGAATTCATTGTCATAAAAATGCGGGCCTAACTATAAGGAACAACTTTGTAGAAGAGACGTTTAGTCTACAGTTTCAATTTCAGGCTCAAAACATATCATTCCACCTAAATCTGCATTCTGGACCACTGCGCATTGTTGTAATATAATCAGGCACACATTAGATAAGGGAGGCCCACATTATTTCTGTTCGATTGAATTGATTTTTTTTTTATCTTTTATGACGCCACCATCACCAAAATTCAATTTTTCTTAGAGCGTATATTTTTTTCGGAAGCGATACTGAAGCATAAGAACATGTCAAAAAAGGAAACTTGTGGTTCGATGATAGAGTCTTTTGTATCACTGACTGGAATCGCAAAAATCGACAGAGAGAGAGTCTACTTGGCCGGCGCCGGTGGTGTAGTGGTAAGCGTGACTGCTTTCTAACACCCCAATGGGTCTGGGTTCAATCCCAGCCGAGGTCGGTGGGATTTTTCTGAGGCATAAAAATCTCTGGTCACGTCTTCCTTCGGAAGGGAAGTAAAGCCGTTGGTCCCGGCCCATGTGTGCACGGCGAATGAGAACGACTCAAATTTGAGTTTAGTTCACTCATAATCGCCAAAAGTGCAGGAACTCAGCGATGAGTAAAATTTGTCTCATGGTTTCCTGTGGAAAACCTAAAAAATCTGCCGGAAAATGAGGAAATTGACGAAAATTTTATTCAGTCTCGGAGTAGTACCAATAGACTGAGTGAATCCAATCTTTAATTTTCTCAAATTCGGGAATTTTTCCCTGGAAAATCCTGGAAAAACCTGGGAAAACATGAGGCAAATTAACTCATCGCTGAGTTCCTGCACTTTTGGCGATTATGAGTGAACTAAACTCAAATTTGAGTCGTTCTCATTCGCCGTGTGTTGAATGGGTGCGATATCCTACGCAGGTGTGGAAGCAGCTGCCTTCCTTGCACATTCGATTGCCGTCAATGGATGGCAATCGATGTCCGTCGGTGATTGGCACTAGATTGCGGAACAGAGACCGACGTTAAATAAAGGAATGAAGAAGAAAAAGAAGAAGAAGAGAGTCTACTTGCAAAACTTCTTTGTTGCATGAACTGTTAAAGCAATTTGCGTGAGACTTATGGGAAAAGTATTCTGGGTTTATTTTCCAGATAAGTATGCAATGATTGACAGACTACAATTAAATCTTCATAAAAAGAGTTTTTATTTCATAAAAATACACATGCCTTTTATTGCGTGTCTCATCTCGCACCCGATCGCTTTTCATTCCCCGCTGGAAAACTCAATCCAAACACTTTTATTAACCATTCTCCTCCATCCTCCGTTTCCATTCTAGGGCTGCCTCCTACGCTGATTGATGCAAATTATGAACCCATCATCACTGTTCGCCCACCATAGGAAGAAGACGACCAAATCGTCGTTGCACAAGGCCAATTTCAAGTAGCAGCAACGGTGCAACAACTTTTCAACGATCCATTCATCCATGCATCCATCCATTCCGAAGAGAAATCAGCAAATTATGATAATGAGACTCCGTTTGAATGCCGTCACATCAGCAACGATGAACTACTACCACGAATAAACTGTTCGTTCCGAGTGTCAACGGTGTGGATGGAATGGTTGCAATTGTCACCCTTGGCAGAGAAGAAAATACGCGCGAGTGTGGAATTTTAAATCCCCGTCGAGACCTTTGGGCTTAATTCTCATTATGTGCATGTGTCAAACCGAGCCGTGATCGAGCCGGGTTCGTGTAGGTACGTGGTGCAATATGCGTTTGCTTTGGTGTGTCGATATGCTTCATTAGCTATGCAGAAAGTTATGATTAGCTTGATCCGAAGAAAAAGTCTTTTCGAACTTTGTCGTGGTTGCGCCAAAGTGTCGTCGATTGAATGAATAATTATTGTCTTATTAGACTGCATAAAGTCAGCCATCAGATCGCGCGGTGTGCATGATATCGTACTCGATTTGCAGTGTTCAGTGTCTTGCGGCCAGAGGGAGGAAACCTGTAATTAAGACCCCTCAATCTTCGTGCCCCCAGCTCGTTTCGGGCCGGAGTCATATTACGTGCGCGTGCAGCAAGTTCGTCCAAGCATTTGGAAGTATGTAAATAGTGCAACAACAAAAGCAACGGCCGGTAATCGGCTCTATCTCTGCGCGTATACTTACGTACGTGTATTCTGTTTATTTAACGTTCACATCCAAAGTGCATCGGAGCTGCAGCGTTGCAGTTGAATTACGAGCAGCATCAATTCATTCATCAGAAGAAAATCATCAAATTGGTCGCTGCTCGTGAACTTGAATACGCATTCGCCGGGGGAAGTTTGAGCGAGAGGAAGAGCAACCTGCTATGAGCGGCCAGTGATGCACGGCCAGTGATTCAAGGTGGATAAAATTTATGTTAAGTTGTGAAAATTATATATAATTAAATTGAATTCGCCTAGTTTGATAGCAATGCTGTTCGATGCCGGGGTCGTAAATTCTTTGTTTTCATATGAATCGCTGCTGCTGTTGGTTTCTTGTGAGCGCGCGCGACTGCGTTTGATCGTGCGTGCGTTTTTCCATTTAAATGACCTAGGGATGTGCGCTTGTGAAGACGAATTCGTTAATTCAACCATTTGTGTGACAAATTATGGAAAGGGCAAGCGATATTCATGGTTCAGTGTAACTGGAGTAAACAAAACCATTAACATGGGTTTTATGCTATTACTTGGGTATAAATATGTACGCCCGATTGTCATGGTGTATGGTAACACTTCTAGTAAATATGCTTCCGTATACAGAGCATGACCAAAGCGAAGCGAGACAACCGATATTTTTGAGCTCCAGTTTTCATTATATGCTCTGAAATTCAATCACTGGAGCTGGAAGTTATAAATCTTTTTTATAGAACAAACCTGGGCTGTCTGTGTCACGCTCGGAGCTTATCTGCCTTGGAAAGCAGACGACTTGCTAATATAATACTAACATCGATCAAATAAATTCAGCGACCATTGAGACATTGAAAGGGAGCTAATAATTAACGATTCTGTTGGAGCGTTACAATTCATTCCATTCCATAAAAGCTTGTTTTGTTTTGTTTTGCTGTTTGTTATATCAGCATTTTTCGAGGCAAAACATTCGTTGGGACGAACTTGATGCGCTGTAGACAGTCTTGTTTGCAAAAAGCTCCTTGTATGCTCAATATTTATTTAATCGAAATATTCCTTAATCTTGCAACTGAATTAGTCTTCAAGACCTGCTAATTAGCCGAATTTTGAAGTTTCCTGTAGTATAACAAATTTCAAAGCTTTGGGACAAATTTCAAAGATCCAGCATTAGGGAAGAATGTAGATACAGGAAAACTTGGAGCCAGCACCAGTGGTGTAGTGGTGAGCGTACTGCTTCACACCCCAATGGGCCTGGGTTCAATCCCAGCCGAGGTCGGTGGGATTTTTCTAAGGCATAAAAATATCTGGTCACGTCTTCCTTCGGAAGGGGAGTAAAACCGTTGAACTCGGCCCATGTGTGTGTTTGAATGGGAGCGATACCCTACGCAGATGTGGAAGCTGCCTTCCTGCACATTCGATTGCCTTCAATGGATGGCAATCGATGTCCGTCGGTGATTGGCACTAGTTTGCGGAACAGAGACCGACGTTAAATAAAGGAAAGAAGAAGAAGAATAAGAAGAAGAAGAAGAATAATAAGGAGGAGGAGGATAAATTGGTCCGATATTTTTTTGCATATGATTTTACAGAGCTTTTGATTTCTTTTCCAAATGAAAAACAGGAGCCGGGCATACCATCAAGAAACATGTTAAATTCTATGAAGGATATTGATAAGTTTCAGGTCCAAACATCGAAAACATACACAAATTTTAGAGTTTGCCACTCAGAATTCCATGAAGCTTCCCATTATTGGTTATAAGTGGCAATGAACCAAGTTTGTGCTGGAATTTGGCCATTGTGACTCACGCCTATTTTTTCTAAATGGCGAATTCGATATTTTTCAATAAATTATAGCATGCAAACGGCTCGTCTTATGAAAATGACGTATGATACAAAGATGTAAAAAAATATACTGTCGTTTAAGAAAAATAAAAATTAAAGAAAAATGCACACTGAAAATGAATTACAAATTTTGGTCAAATAATGAAAGAACTGTTACAAACTTCAAAAAAAGGACATTCAGATTTTGGTTATTTCAATGTTGGAAGGCAAAACGCTTTCGTAATGTTAACATGATACTTAGTGCGAAATTTACTAACTAGACAAGTTATGAAAATAGAATTAGCTAGTTCCGTGTGAAAAGTTGTATAGAACTTCAAATTACCCTCACTCAATTTCAGCTTCTAAAACAGTTTTTCACACTGCTACTCTAACGGGACTATCAAATTCTTTCCCCTTTATAACTTCCTATAGCTAATAAATTTTGCACTAAGGCTCATGTTGACATTATTAATGTCGTTTTCCTCCTAACCTTTAAAAAAAAGTACATTTTAAGAGTTTTAATCTTATGTAAATAATTAAAAAAATATATTAAGGCTTGTACTCGAAAAAAATGCACAATTTTTATCCGTGTGCAACTTTTTTATCCATAGGTAAAAATTGATGAAAATCTGAGTATAACTAGTTTGGAGTGAATTGTTTACATGTGCAAAATTTCATAACAATCGGTTCAGTGGTTATTGAGATGTCATCGAAACAAGAAAAAAATTGCCGGAGAATTTTGCGCGCCGTCATGGAAAATCTGACTGCGACCATGAAATGGATTGGAAGACAACTGGGAATCACCCATACAACTGTGTCTCGGGTGGTAAAATCTTTTAAGGAGTCCCAGACGACCGAGCGGCAGGCTGGAGTGGAAGAAAATCGAAGACAGCTGACCGTTTGAATGCCCGGAAGGTGTTGGATTATTTCAAGCGTAATCCAAACCTTTCGATTCGCGACGCGGCTCTGAAGGCAAAGTGTTTCGCCTGGTTCGTTCAGCAAACCATGAAACGAGCTGGGCTTCGTGTATTAAAGGTCCGGAAGGCACCGAACCGGCGTGATCAACAAAACACGGCGGCCAAATCCCGCGCAAGGAAGCTGTATCGAGAGTGGTTAACGAAACCGATGTGTGTGGTTTGATGTTCCGGAAGACATATGGAAGAAGAAAGTGGACAAATTCGCCAAAAAATACTTGCTCTGGCAGGCCATAGCCAATGCGGTAAACTGAGTAAACCGTACAATTGGTACCATCAACAGCGAAATTTACCGCACCGAGTGCCTCCAGAAGCGTCTGTTGCCCTTCCTGCGGTCCCACGGAGGCGAGACATTATTTTGGCCGGACCTGGCATCATGCCATTATGCGCGAACGACGTTGGATTGGTACCGAGACAATAACGTTGTTTTTGTACCAAAAACCGCCAACCCCCCAAATTCACCATAGATTCGTCCGGTGGAAAGATTTTGGGCCATAATGAAGGCCAAAGTTCGAAAATCATCCAAGGTGTTTAAGAACGAGCTGGAGTTGAAGAAAGAATGGATGAAAGTGATCAAAAAGGTCGGTTCCACCATTGCACAAAATGTAATGAGGGTTCTTAAGGGAAAGGTGCAGGCTTTCAGTGATGGAAAGGAAATTGAATAAAGTAATTATGCCGAAACATAATCCATATATATTAGTTCATTCCAAGGTTGCAAAGGCTCATTTCAGCTAAAAAAATGTTTTTCTAAATTATGAAATAATTAGATGCCATGATCAAATTTTGAATTGGTAGGATACAAGAAGAGGTTGCAAAGAATGTGTTTGACATATTAAACCTGTTTATTTCACTTCATGAGAGTCACAATCAGCGATTTTTCACAAACTCACTCACTCACTCACTCACTCACTCAGCGATCAGCAAATCGCTGATTGTGATTCATGGAAAGCAAAATTTACAGGTTTTATGTTTCCAACGCATACTTTGTAACCTCTTCTTGTAAGTTACAAGTTAAACATGCCATCATACCATCTTTTGGTTTTATTATTCCGAAAAACATTATTTTAGCTGAAATGAGTCTTTGCAACCTTGGTTCATTCCCTGAAAGTTCTAAGAAAATCCGACTTAAAATAAACTTTTGGCGAACACTTTTGCCTGGTGCATTTTTTTCGAGTACAGGCCTTAAATTGCAAAACAAAAGACAATCATTTACGACCTACTTCAACAACCCTCATGTTGATTCTTATTAGTTAATAAGATTCTAGAGCTATCTCAAAACTTTGGGAACTCGAATTTTAGAATTTATGTTAGTTTTAAACCAAAGGCATTCTTCATAAATTTTTAACAATATTTCAAGATTAAAATATTGTTAAAAATTTATGAAGAATTCCTTTGGTGGTTTGTAAAGGGGGTCGAGCTCTTTTAACTTTAATCAGCGTAAAAATTTCCAGTTTCGGAAAATAGCATCCAATTGGGCTAAAACTTGTGTAGTGACTAAAGGCTGACTAAAAGTAAATTGGTACGCATAAAAATACCTGTATTTCATGATTCAATAAGTTTAAAAACTCCATTAATGGTTGCTTTACAGTACTTTTATTAAAACTTCAAAGCTACAGCATTTGATGGTAACATTTCTCCAGTTCCAACGAAATCTCGAACCTTCCTCTTGATGGAGCCCATCAGCGCCCGCACAGTGGAAACGGACACGGAATCAGCACTATTCTTCAATTCTGCCCGCATTTGCTGGATGTCCTTGACTGCCCCACCACTTCGTCAAAGTCGCTGCTTTGAAATTGCCCAGTATTTTTCGATTGGTGGAAATTCCGGGCAATTCGGAGGATTCATTAGTTTGTGACAAAATCGGTCTTGTTGGCAGCATACCACTCCAGAACCACCTTGAAGTAGTGGTAGCTGGCCAAAAGATGACTTTGCTCCTATCCTTGCTATTTTTCAGGCATACGTTGATGTAAACATAGGATGTCATCGTCGAGGATGTCACGAATGGTTCCATTTTCAGGACACAACTGCAAATCGCTTGCCAAATAATGGCCTTCTTCGCGAACTTGTCGGCAAACACGAACTTGAATCTTCCCGGCACATCCCTACGTCCAGTCGTGATGTAAAATTATTGACCGGGAAGCTGCTTGAAATCGTGTTTTACGTATGCTTTGTCATCGATCAAAGTGCAGCCTTTGTGTTTCGTCAAAACACGGTCGTATAAGAGCCTTGCCACGGAATTCTGCTTCATGTGCCGGTTAGAATATTTACTGGCTTTGTTCGACTTTATCCTCCCCTGTCAAGGATGTTCCGCCCTGTTTGAAAGTTTGCGTTGTACCTTCTGGCCACATCTTGGATCGAAAGACCGGAGTTGGCTTAACCGCACCTCAACACCTTGCTGCGCAGTTGACGATCCCTGGTTCCAATTTTTTTGTAGGCCCACTGA